GTAGTATCAATAAATCGGAGAATGATTGTATACACTCCTATCAGGTCCTGCTTAGCCAGTGCTCGGATAGATTCATGTTTCAAAAGTATGTGCTCCAACGTAATGTGGTTATCATTAAGAACAATACACTACTTGTACCCATTACAGAAGCATAGGGATGATAAACCACTAGTAGAGCGTGCGAATTGTAATAATGACGACGACAATGATACTTGTTGTGATTTCCTTTTCACTTGAAATTGTTTCATTGCCTCATATAACTTTGATAATAGGGCAGTATGACTTTTATCCATCGTCCCAATAACACCACTTGATAATTGCTCTTGTTTGTTATCATTGATTTCTTCTTCTCCTGATGCTGTTGATAATTATTTACCACCACTTAATATATCACACTCATTTATTGGTGTTTTTTGAAATCTTTCTCGTTGTTCTTTTATCTCATAATCAGTCCATGTTTCACCTTGTTCTGGCCATTCTAATTCTCCATACTCCAGTAATGTCGGCGTAATTGTCGATGGTATTGACGTGTGTTGATCATAATGTACTTGATAGTGTTGATGAAATAAATATGAGTGAATGCGGGTAACTTCAGCTGAATCACTTGGATGTTGTTTTTCGACTAATGAATATTTTTTCTCTAATTCTTCCGTAATTGTCTCCGATGAATGTATTTTAGCTATATTCTCAAAATACCATGTTGATGCTTCTCCGCATAAAAATATTGGAATCCTATCTAATTTTTCATGATCTGGACAGTTAGCCAACTTGAATTCAACTTTTACCGTCTTCACCCAATCGGTAACATTTTCCTCTTTGCTACCAGAAAATTTTGGTGTTTGTGTTTCCAACGTTTTCCGGAGTAAATTGACTATAATTTGGTCAATCATTGTATCATCCATGTTGTTTTCTACTAATGTTGGCTCGGATTCTATTACTGTGATGTTGTCTTGACAGTAATCCGGCTAGTGTACCAATGTCAGGTTCCCGGATGGACTAAGATCTTTCTCACCTAACGTTTATTTACAAATAAAAAAGATTATCCTTAACAATAAAATTCATCTATTTATATACGAAATATTGCGCGATAACCTTGAGTAGATTCTACGCAATAACCTTGACTAGACGTCACGCAATAACCTTGGATATATTCTTGCACCATAACATTGAATATTCTTGCGCAATAACCTTGACCATAGTCTTACATCATAACCTTGAATATATTCTTGCGCAATTACTTAGACTATTTGCTTGCGCAATAACCTTAACTATGATCTTCTCCCTTATGGCACGACTGTAGTGCGTGGCATAACAAATAACTTTGTTGTATCAAAGGACGCTCACGAAATGTTTGATTAATTGAAAAAAAATGCAGTTAGTTTCTGGCAAATAATAAAATTTCAATAAATTCTGATGAAATAGTTCTGTTACGTAAGAAAATACATCATGAGTCAAATGAGATGTTATTAAGAGTACTCCTCTCTTCTTTCACGCCGTAGAAACAGGTGAAACGAAAATTCCGACTGACAAAGGAACGTACCCAGGTGTGTTCCCTCAAAGTCGTTTTGAAATCTTTTCAGTTTATGAAGTTGATGTTGCTTGTGAGGATATGGACCGTCTAGTGGCTAACTCTAATCGTAGAAGTAAAGCTGTAATGAGAACCAAGTCTCGCTCTCATATCTTTATTTGAAGCAAATGAACGGCTATATATAGTACAAAAGTTAAACAAGAGTTTTGCAAGAGTTGCGCATGAGTTACATAAGAACAGAAAGAGTTAGGAAAACACACTGCGGAAGGAAACGAAAACGAAAGAATGAAACAAGAGTAGCGCAATAACAGAATTGCGCAAGAATGGTACAAAAACAGAATGGAGAGAGAATGGACCTTATGAGCTGCCGGCGAAGGCAGATCATAACATTACTAAGTGCGAATCTAAAGTCCGTTCGCCCCGCCCCAATTTTGAGTTTTAGACGAGATTTATGAATTTTTTATTTACAATATTGTTAGTATTATCCATAACTTATTTAATAGAAAACGTCTACTCTCAATCCGAAAGGACTAAAAATAGAATTGGTACATCTCTAGTGCATTCTAGCTAGAATATTCCAGAAGAACTGTTGCATATAAATAGCGGCCGCACTCTTAATTCGTAGCTTACGACTATATGTTACTTGCTTGATTCATATTCTGTGCGACTAGCTCGGTTATTTTACGGTCTTTACTGGTGCTCTATTTCCAGTACCTATTTCTTTTGCAATTTTGAATAAAATCATTGAAAAATCAATCGTATATTTATCTCAAATGAGTTACTTCGATTTTTCAAGATAAAAGAAAGAAAAAAACCCCAAAAGATCCTACCGGATTCGGACCGGCGATGAAAAAGTTCACTTTCTCTGTACTTAGCCACTGTGGCACGGATCTATTTCAATTTTGTATGGAAAATGTGATATTTCAGTTTCGCGATAAAATCTATCATATTGTTACAAGGCCTCTCTATGAAACTTTCTGCTTTACCTGATATTTTGACTATGAAGTTTTTAATCTTTTATTGTTATTCCACATGTGAATAAATTGACAGAAAAATTGAGACATTTACTTTAAAAACCTTGTCAGGACAGCCCCTTTGGGGCTGAAATGGTAAAACTCCTTTGAAGGTCTTTCACTTTTAATAAGTAAAGCGCTGCTACATTATATTAATATTGTAATATATAGAGATGGTGCGGGGCTTTTATCTGTTTTGAAATAAATGATAATGGTAGTAACTAGGGAGTTTTTACTTTATTTCACATTTGTTTACTAAGAAGATAAATATGTTTTTCGCGATGTTTTTTTTTGGATCAAAGTAAGATAATAATTTAATTTTAATACCGTTGTCAGAGTATGTCTAAGAATAGAAAACAACAGTGTAATAATAGAAATAAGAGGCCAAAAGAAAAAGAAAAACAGGAATAAAAACCACGTTAAATCCGTAAAAAATCTGATTAGAGGAAACAATAAAAAAGGTGCATATGTTCCGCATTCAGTTAAAAGTAATGAGAAGGAAACCATAGACGAGTACAATGATGCCAAACAACTATTGCATTATACCAACGATGACATATCAATTAGAAATTGATGAAAATATGATTATAAGAATACATGATGATTTGCGTAGCACGTGAGTAATAAACAAAGATTAGTCTGCATCGTTGACGTTCAAACTAACTGATGTAAGTAGTAATGAAAAATAACTAGTAATGAAAAATAACTAGTTGTTCCTATTGAGATGGGTATGAAAAGAAAAGAAAGCAAAGATGGATGGAATGTAATTGTTGTATTAGAATGGTGCAACTATCTAATTTAAAATCTGCTACTGCATCGGACATAAGTTATCATGATTGTAAGGCTACAGCTAGAGTTTATGGGAGAACGATACATAGCGTTATTCCACGTGCTCCTTTCAGTGATTGTGATTAGAGGTAAACCAACAACGGCAAAGGTCAGATGGTTCATTTCTTTACAGTAGTAGGGGAAATTTTGTTAATATCTTAACATTCCCTAAATGTCATCAATTAATGGCCGTATTACAGAAAACAGCTACTAAGAACATTGAAATTAGTACGACAGTTAGTTATTCCGTATCCGCGTCACAAATATTAGAAACTTTTTATTTTCTGAAACAGGCAGACGCTGCATGAGAGATTCGATATCTGTTGTGGGATTTTTGAGTATAGAAAAATTTCAATGACATGCACTACCACAAAATGGAAGTTGAATAGCATATCTTGTTACAGTGTCATAAAAAAACAAAGTAAACGAAAGTTGTCAAAAACTTTTACCCTCTGAGTATAAGAAATCTCTGAAGTACCGACATTATCTCTAATAGACTAAAGAAAAACAAAAATATCATCCAATATTTTTAAATTTTAATCACAATAGGTGAACCATCTTTATATCGACATGATCTGAAAGTCGGTCAGAAATGACTCTGACCACCGTCCAGAGCACAACAAATCACTTTTAAATCCATACATTTTAGCTATTCAAACGGTTCCGAGAATGGCCGCTCATAGCTCGCAAAGGACAATTAACCGTTCTCAAGAACCTCTGAGTACCTGGATACTTATTTCACCACTACATCTGAATTTATCTAACAGTAATGATCGAAACGGGCACAAAAGGTTACATATGTTGCACTAAAAATTTAATTCTTCCTCATCATTTTTTATTCAAAGCTTTTTCACAAAAAATTTAACCGTCAGTGACCAAAATTCAAGGGGGAAAGCTGATTTTGAGCCCTTTTCGATTTTGGACCACTGTAATCGATTCAAATCGATTTTGGCCGATTCTGTCACTCAAAATCGATTTTCAATCATTTTGGTACCCAAAATCAGCTTTTTGGCGACCAAAACGGCTGAAAACCGATTCTTGCGTAATCCATTTTGAGTGACAGAATCTGCCAAAATCGATTTTGAGCCACAAAATCGCTTGAAATAGCTTTAAATCGAGTACAGTTCCAAAATCGAACAGAGCTCAAAATCAGCCTTTTCCCCCTTGCCTAGGTTACGCTTTTTAAAATTCGAGAAAAATCCAAAGATTAAGAGTAATATCCTTACTTAAAATGACCAGAAAGAGCCACTGAAGCTTGCCTGTATGCTACAAGGACAAGCTCGAAAACACTTACAATTTAGCTCTAATACTCCGCCATCCGCGATCTACTGTGAACTTTGTGAGCTGTCCCCAAGATAACTACATGTGAACTTTTTGAGATATTATTGTCTTAGATACTTACTATTCGAGTAGCTCTACAAAAGCCGCCAAATTTTAAATCCGGCGGAAGAAAGTTTTGGACTTAGATTTCCAGAAATTCTCGTCAAAATCTTAATCTCATATTTCATAAATAATCGGCTTTGATCTCAATTCGTGTTTAGACTCAAAAATACTGCATAGCGTTATAACCAGCCTTCCCTGGCAGCTCATAAGATTCAGCTCTTGCACCATCCTTATGCAACTCTTATTTCATCCTTCCGTTTGCTAACTCTTTCTGTTTTTGCGCAAGTCCTGCGCAACTCTTACTCAATTTGTGTACTATATATAGTCTTTCACGTTCTGCAAATAAAAGGTATAGAGTGGGAGCTGGTTCTCACAATTGGTGCAATAGCCGACCGGTCGTCTTTTCCATCGCGACTAGATGCGGTCCGACGACGAATCGTTTCATTTGCCTTCGAAATTTGTCTCCGTCTTCTGCTCTCTGTCGAACATCCAACGGTCAACCCGTTAGTGTCGCGTACAGGCCAAGAACACCGGCCACTATCGTTCCGTGGATGTCGCTAGCTCAGATTGATCTTCACCTTGGGAGACCAATACGGGCGAGAGGCACCGATCGTCGACAAGGCAAATCAAGAGACAATGAAAAACAAGACGCTTGTGGTGTTGATGAGCTCGAGGTGTGGCAACTCGGGTGCATCTCAACGCGGCCAACATTATTGGCTACTCTTTGGACGCACGCGTCCTGAGGTATAGGTATTTGGTGACAACTCGTCAACTTATTTGATATCGACTTGACAAGCGACTCTTAATACCTGTTCTCAAAGGTCAAGTCTCAATTGGAAAGCTTGTGGCGTGGAAATACAAGTCTTAGTCTGGCACGGTTCGCTCCGACAACAATCATCTGTCATTCAATAACGTGAACCATTCTTTGTATTTTTGTCTTCGTTTTTCTTTTGCTGTATTCTCAGATCCTTAAATCTGTTAACGTGATAACTCTATGTATTTCTCCATTACGTCCATTTATGCTGTTTTTCCTTTTCTGATTTTTTGATTTGCGGGACGCGCATCTTTGTTGATGAGGGGAGGATGGTTAATTGTGAAATCCAACTCTCACTCTATATCTTTTATTTGCAGAAACTAG